AGTCGCCATTGAAGAAAAAGACAACCAGCGGTCGCCTTCCCTAGGGGAGAAAGCAACCATTTCGGTCATCTTCTTCATTGGAAAAGGTGACCAGACTAGTCCCCAACGATCGGCTAATTGTTTTTTTTTTCTTTAATGGCGGCGGCGAACAATGGTCAACGGTAGTTAACATTAGTCAACAACAATAATTTTATTGGTAACCTATTGATTATTGATAAATTGGACTTATTTGACTAATTTTAAGAAATTCGAGTGTTTGATTGCACTTTTTAAAGTTTAGAAACTTAATTGCACTTTTGTGTAAAGTTCAATGACTTATTTGACGTTTTCTTTTTTTTTTTTTTTTTTTTTTTTTTTTTTTTTTTGATATACTACTTAAAAATGAACATTCAGTAAATTAAAAAAAAAATAATCCTTCAACATACTAAAAATAAATATTTATTAATAATTCAACTTGCAATCATGCAATGTGGACAAATGATTAGGGGTGTCAAGTAGACGAAACTCACGAACTAACCTGCCCGGCTACCCCTCTCCTCGATTAGGTGGGTTAGGGTCATTGGAAATAGGGATCTCGAAAACACAGGCTTGACCCGCAGCCTACGGGCCAGGCCATGCTTAAATTAGAAAAAAAAAAAGATTTAATACTACACAAATAGAAGGCTGTGTGCCTGTGTCTAGTCATCTACTGACCTGGGTATACATGCATATATGTTTGTATATATTTTGGAGTTCTACTATGAGAATTCTCAAATTTTACTGTATCAATATACTATCTGATGCGATAAATATGGATAGGATATTTTTATTTTGTGAATTCAGAGAAAATTATCTATATTCAAGATTTGTACGAAAGAATAAAAATTGAGAGTAAAATTTGAAATACAATTAGTATTTTCCTACATTTTGCACCTTTTCATTTCCTCACACCTCAAACTGGTCTTTCCTTACATAATTAACCTTCTAAGAATTCATTCAAACCCCACTATTATTTCTCTCTAAGATTTTCAACATTTGCAAGTGATGAGTCTGTCATGCATGTGATCGTGTCAAAGTCACCTGTACAACTCACTGTACTGCGTCCAAGAAAAGGTGCAAGAATGTTTTTTTTTTTTTTTTTTTTTTTTTTTTCTTTTTGAAAACAAGAAAAACTACTTCCATTAATAGCTATCAAACAAGAGAGCACTATAGAAGAAAGCGGGAGAGTTAATAAACCACTCCATACCGAAATATTCCAATTACAATTTAGAATCGAAACCCGATATTTAAAGTTTATTAAAATCGCGAACCGGAACGGACGGTTCATATTCCGAACTGAAAAAATAAAATACATTTATTGTTGAATTTAGACTATTTTAAAATAAAAAACAAAAATTTAAAATAAAGACGGTTCAAAATCGCGAACCGGATCTGGAAACCCCGGTTCACGGTTCAACCGTTCAGGATCCAATTTGTTTGATTCATAATTTTAATAAATTGAAATCCAAATGTTGGGTTATAGATCTGAATCATAACCGAAATTTTTTAATTCGATTGTTTTAGTATCTGGTTCAGTTCGAACCGAACTGTATCCCTACGTATACGCAATAATTTGTTGGAGAAGTAAAATAAATAAAATATTTACTTTATGGGTAGAAATGTCAATTTAATATATTAGGGGGAAAAACCACCACTTTTAAAATAATTGAGGGGCTAATGTGCTTACCTAAATAATTGAGGGAGAAAAAGTGCTATAAGTAAGCAACTCAGGGGGAAAAAGTGACACTTTCCCAATAATTTAATTAAGGATGATTATTTGTAATTTGTAATACTATATATATATATATATATATATATATATATATATATATATATATATATATATATATATATTGATTTAATTTAAATGATTTAATGATTTAATTTAATTAAGGATGATCTAATTTAATTAAGGATGATTATTTGTAACACTAAATATATATGCTGATTTAATTTAAATTATTTAATTAAAGATGATTTAATTTAATTAAGAATGATCATTTGTAATATTAAATTATAGGGTAATTTAATTTAAATAATTTAATTTAAAATATTATTATACTATAATAACGAATTATTATTACTATAATAATAATTACTATAATAATAATAATACTAATAATATTAGGAGTAGAAAAAGTAAAAAAAAAGAAATGAAAATGGGATTCAGTTAATAATAATAATAGTAATAATAAGGTTAATTAGCAGTAAAAAAAAAAGGAAAATATAAAAGGAGAGTAATACTAATAATTTGTTAGGAGTAAAAGTAGGAAAAATAGAAAAGAAAACGAAATTCAAATAAATATACAATAATTTTGGATATAAATTATTAGCTTAAAAGGAAAATATAAAAGGAGATTAATACTAATAATTTGTTAACAGTAAAAAAAAAAAAGCATAGAAAAGGAAACCAAATTAACTAAAAAGGAAAATCCTACCAAAAATCAGTAATTAATAATAATTAATTTCTATAATTTCTATAAAATCAATACGTAACTAATTATATGGAGAGGATAAATAATTATTGGGTAAGTAATTATTTAGATAAGTGCTGACATATTTGCCCGATTGATTTAATTAAGATTGGTTTAATTTAAATAATTTAATTAAGGATGATTTAATTTAATTAAGGATGATTATTTGTAATTTGTAATACTAAATATATATATATATATATATATATATATATATATATATATATATATATATATATATATATATATATATATATATATATATAGATTGATTTAATTTAAATGATTTAATGATTTAATTTAATTAAGAATGATCTAATTTAATTAAGGATGATTATTTGTAACACTAAATATATATGCTGATTTAATTTAAATTATTTAATTAAAGATGATTTAATTTAATTAAGGATGATCATTTGTAATATTAAATTATAGGGTAATTTAATTTAAATAATTTAATTTAAAATATTATACTATAATAACGAATTATTATTACTATAATAATAATTACTATAATAATAATACTAATAATATTAGGAGTAGAAAAAGAAAAAAAAAAGAAATGAAAATGGGATTCAGTTAATAATAATAATAGTAATAATAATGTTAATTAGCAGTAAAAAAAAAAGGAAAATATAAAAGGGGAGTAATACTAATAATTTGTTAGGAGTAAAAGTAGGAAAAATAGAAAAGGAAACGAAATTCAAATAAAGGGAAAATGACACTTTCTCCCCCTGAGTTATATACCTATAGCATTTTTTCTCCCTAAATTATTGAAGTGGCTGTTTTTCCCCTTGAAATGTTGAATGGACATATTTACCCTTAAACTAAATATTTAATTTATTTTTTTCTCCAACAAATTATGACCATAATTTGGTTCAAACCAAACAAACACTATAGCAACCAAACCGAAATATTCTACTTACAATTTAGAATCGAAATTTGATATTTAGAGTTTATTAAAATCATGAACCGGAACGGACGGTTCATGTTCCGAACTGAAAAAATAAAATATATTTATTGTTGAATTTAGACTATTTTAAAATAAAAAATAAAATTTTAAAATAAAGACGGTTCAAAATCGCGAATCGGATCCGGAACCGCCGGTTCACGGTTCAAGATTCAATTTTTTTGATACATAATTTTAATAAATTGACATTTAAATATTAGGTTCTAGATCTGAATTATAACCGGAAATTATTAATTCGATTGCTTTAGTATCCGGTTCAATTCAAACCGAACCGTGGTCATCCCTACGTATACGCAATAATTTGTTGGAGTAGTAAAATAAATAAAATGTTTACTTTAAGGGTATAAATGTCAATTTAATATATCAGTGGGGAAAAAGCACCACTTTTAGAATAATTGAGGGGGCTAATGTGCTTACCTAAATAATTGAGGGAGAAAAAGTGCTATAAGTATATAACTCAGAGATAAAAAGTGCCATTTTCCCTCAAATAAATGTACAATAATTTTGGATATAAATTATTAGCTTAAAAGGAAAATATAAAAGGAGATTAATACTAATAATTTGTTAACAGTAAAAAAAGCATAGAAAAGGAAACCAAATTAACTAAAAAGGAAAATCCTACCAAAAATCAGTAATTAATAATAATTAATTTCTATAAAATCAATACGTAACTAATTATATGGAGAGGATAAATAATTATTGGGTAAGTAATTATTTAGATAAGTGCTGACATATTTTCTTTTATGGAAATATTTTTTTTCATTATTTAGCCAGCATAATATGAGTGAAATAAAAATAGTAATTATATGGAAAGGATTGTCACTAATTATGGAAAGGATTGCCCGCCAGAACAATATGAGTCAAATAAAAATTGGAGCATAATCAATAGGTAAATAATGGCATATTAATTGGATTACCTAATAATAATAATAATAATAATAATAATAATAATAATAACAATAATAATAATTATTATTATTATTATTATAATAGATAGATAGATAGATGGTATTACAGAAATCCCCTACGTTTTGGGAGGAATTTTTGTGCCAACCATGTTGCTTTAATATATATATATATATATATATATATATATATATATATATATATATATATATTAAGAATTAAGATTAGATTAAGATTAAGATACTAGTTGGCGTTGAAAAAATTATTCCAATAAAATATATTATTAAAAAACTTCTCTATATTTTTAAACATTTTCCATTTGAACAAATTTTTCTTTATTCAAAATTTTCTTCTTCTTTTTGAAAAAAAAAAAACAAAAACTTTCTAACAAAATACATGATTGTAGTTTCGAAAAAAGAAAAGAAGAAAGCGGGAAGAAACACAATTCTTTTAGTGGAATCCAACGAATCAATGATTACCTACCTTTACTAATTAAACATATAATATAGTGTACGGCCATTATTATATATGATAATATCCATTAATTAATTAATTAATTAATTATTGCCTGTACAGATTCAACAACCAACAATGTTCACTGTGGTCTGCACTTTGCATGCAGGTTTTATAAACGCCAGTAGTTTCTTGGTAAGCTTGGATCGTATAGTCTTCTTAAGAAACTCAAAAAGAAGATGTTTCTAGCAGAAGATTTGCTTTGCAAACCCCATGTCTTCATGTGATTTATCATTTATTTAAGGAATTTAAAGAAGTAAGTTATGTAATCTTCTTCTTTTTATTTGTATATCTTTCTCTGAATGAATTTTACATGGTTATTTTGAGCTAAAATTCATTCTTCTTGTAAAAATGGCTCCATGATGACAGTTTTTAAGATCAGAAAGCTAATAAATTAAAAGTATTTGTTGTTTATTTATATTTCTTGGATCTGTAACTAATCATTATATATACATGGTGGATATTAGTTGGATACTCACTTAATCAGAAATGTTGATAAGCAATATAATCTGCAAACTTCTTTCACCAAATTTCTAATGGTTAGTTTTTCACTAGAGTTTCAAGAATCTGAAAATATTAGTTTTGTTACTGGCAGAGAAAACCATGGATCCGTGGCAAGTTTTCTGCGGAGAAAAGGCGTGTATCTGCATCGGCCACATACTCATCATTTCTGCAAATGTTTTGCTTCTGTTATTTCTTGCATATCTCCACTCTCGAAAGCTTTCGTCGAGAAAGAATGTGGTGTCGTCTGCAAGCAACTCCTCCAGATTATTGCTGGTGTGTTGCTGCAGTTTGAATGGCGGTTTGGGTGCGGGTTACTTTTGCTTGGCGGTTTGGAAAGTCGTCGAGAATTCGAGTGTTTTGCCTCTGCATTCATGGTTAGTGTTGGTGTTACAAGGATTCACAATGCTGTTTCTGGGGTTGTCTGTCAGCAAGAAGCAGCAGACCACCTTAATTTCCTCAGTGGTGAAAGTGTGCTTTTTGGAGGCCTTAGTGGTTGGATTTCTCTGCTTCTTGTCTATCTGGGAACTGATTCTGAACAAAGTTGTGTATGTTGAATCAGTTCTCAACGTTTTATCGCTTCCCGGGATGGTTCTTCTGCTCATCTGTGCATACAAGGAGCAAAGGGTATCAGATGATTGTTACTACGAAGCACTTGAAGAACAACAGAATGTGACTGGATTTGCTAAAGCCGGGTTTCTAAGCAAGATGGCGTTTTGCTGGTTAAGCCCAGTGTTGAAGAAAGGCAAGGAGAGAACTCTAGGCGATCGAGACATCCCGGAGTTGAGACCAGATGACCGGGCCGGGACATTGCACTGTTTGTTTAAGGAGCAAATGAACAGACAGAAACAGGCTAATAATCATCCTAGTTGTCGTCGGGGTTCTGTTTTCTGGTCGATAGTTGCCAGCCAACGGAGAGGTGTTCTTGTTTCGGGAGCATTTGCACTTGTTAAGATCCTGACAGTGTCCACAGGGCCAATTTTTCTTTATGAATTCATAGAAGTTGCAAATGGGAGAGGGGCCTTTGAATATGAAGGCTATGCTCTCACTGCAGGGATTCTTCTTGCAAAATGCCTAGAATCACTGGCAGAAAGGCAATGGTTTTTCAGGACTAGACTGATTGGGCTGCAAGTAAGATCACTGTTAACTGCAGCCATCTATGAGAAGCAACTGAGCCTTTCGAGCACCACTAAGACCACTCATTTGCCCGGGGAAATAATGAACTATGCCACAGTTGATGCTTACAAAATCGGGGAGTTCCCGTTTTGGTTCCACCAGATATGGACAACAGGCATCCAGATTTGTTTCGGACTAGGTACCATGTACTATGCTGTCGGGCTGGCAACGATCCCGGCTGTGGTGTTGGTCGTACTGAGCGTTCTGGTGAATTCCCCGGTGGCCAAATTGCAGCACAAGTATTTGACAGAGCTTATGGTAACACAGGACAGAATGCTGAGGGCTATAACAGAAGCACTGACAAGTATGAAAGTCTTAAAGCTCTATGCTTGGGAAATGCATTTCAAGAATGGAATAGAAAGGCTGAGAGAAGAAGAGTTTAAATGGCTAAAATTGGTTCAAGTTCAGAAGGGCTATTACATGGTTCTGTTCTGGTCATCTCCCATCATTGTTTCAGCAGTCACATTCTGGGCTTGCTACGTTCTCCGAATCCCTCTCAACGCTAGCAATGTCTTCACGTTTCTCGCCACTTTTCGGATCATCCAGGAGCCTATAAGGTCAGTCCCTGATGTCCTCGGAGTATTCATCGAAGCCAAGGTCTCGTTCACCCGGATTCTCAAGTTTCTCGAGGCACCCGAGTTACAACACAAAAGGCACAACGAGAACAAATATCGTGATGATCAAGAACCAGACTACTCGGTACTCGTGGAATGCAACAGAATCTCTTGGCAAGACTGTCCTGGAACAGCAACACTACAAGGCATAACTCTTTGTGTTAAACCTGGCCAGAAGGTAGCCATCTGCGGAGAGGTTGGCTCGGGCAAATCAACTCTAATCGCAGCAATTCTCGGAGAAGTTCCATTTCTTGATGGCACTGTAAGTTCCATTCCAAGATCACTTAAATAGTTAATCAAACAACAAAAGTTGGCTCTTAAGTTTTCTGCAAGATTTCAGGTTCAAGTTCATGGGAAGCTCACATATGTGTCTCAAAATGCATGGATCCAAACCGGGACGATTCAAGAAAACATTCTATTTGGTTCCATCATGGATCAGCTAAAATACGACGAGGTAATTAAGAGGTCTTCTCTGGAGAAGGACCTTCAAAGGCTTCCTTTTGGCGACCAAACAGTGATAGGCGAACGAGGAGTTAATCTAAGCGGGGGGCAGAAGCAGAGAGTTCAGCTGGCACGCGCATTATATCAGGATGCAGACATCTATCTACTCGATGATCCATTCAGCGCTGTCGATGCACACACCGCGACAAGTTTATTCAACGTAGTAACACTCAATCCTTAACGAAAACAAACAAACTGTTTCCATTTTCTGCAAGCTAAAATGGATTGTTTTTTGTCAGGAATATGTAATGGGAGCTCTTTCAAGAAAGACAGTCTTACTAGTAACTCATCAAGTCGACTTCCTTCCAGCGTTCGATTCTATTTTGGTCAGTGTTAAGAGTCCCATATTGATAAAATAAGAGAGAACATATAGGTTCATAAGGCCATGGGTTAGACTAGCTAATTTTGGCACATGTGCTTTATAGTCTAGTTGAGTGACTCTACTCCAATCTTTATTTATAACAGTCAGTTTCTGATGAAAGTTCACTTTTTTTTCACAGTTAATGTCTGAAGGGAAGATCTTAAAAGCAGACACCTATGATCAGTTACTCATCTCTTGTCAAGAATTTCATAGCCTTGTCTGTGCACACAGAGAGACAGCAAAATCTGAGACGAACGGAGGGTATAGTACACGAAAGAAACCCATAAACCGCGAAGAAGAAAGCATTCAAAACATGATTTCAGAAGATGAGCAAATAGAATCTACAGGGGAGCAGTTGATCAAGCAAGAAGAAAGAGAAACAGGAAACACTGGTCTTAAGCCTTATAAGCAGTACCTAGGCGAAAGCCATGGCTTCTTTTACCTCTTAGTAGCGATCATCGCCCACTTGGCCTACATGGTGGGGCAGCTGGAGCAGAATCTATGGCTAGCAGCCGATTTGCAGAACCCCGAGATGAGCAAATTCAACCTTATACTCATATACTCAGCCATAGGATTTGGTATGTCATTGACCTTGTTCCTTAGATCATATGCTATAATTTCCTTAGGCTTAAGGAGATCAAAATCCATATTTGCTAAGCTAATGGCCTCTCTTATTCGAGCACCGATGTCTTTCTACGATTCCACCCCTCTCGGGAGAATACTCAGCCGGGTAAGAATCTAGGAACCAGCAGCATTGCCATAATATTGCAACTTAGTATGGACTAAGAATGTTGTGTCACAGGTATCATTGGATCTTAGCGTTGTGGACCTCGATTTGTCTTTTAGGTTCAGTCAAGCTGTTTCGGTCACCCTGACAACATATTTTAGCTTGGGAGCATTGGCTGCTCTTACCTGGCCAATCTTAATAGTCATCATTCCAACGGTTTATGTCACAATCCTCTTACAGGTAGTGTACTAAGCTAGACACTATATATGCTTGGCTAAATCTCGGGTAAAGTTTTATAAAACCGTTGCTCTTTGTAGAGATTCTACTTTGCAACTGCGAAAGAGCTGATGAGGATCGACGGGACAACCAAGTCTTCGGTGGCTAGCCATCTGGCTGAATCCGTTGCAGGAGCAACAACGATTAGAGCATTCGGGGAGGAGGAAAGATTCTGCTCACAACATATGCACCTTATTGACAAGAATGCAAGTTCAACTTTCCACAGCTTTTCAGCCACCGAATGGCTGATCCAACGCCTTGAAATGATATGCGCGGTTGTGCTATCATCCTCGGCTTTAGCCATGACTTTACTCCCTTTCGAAGCTTCTAAATCAGGCAAGTTGCAAACTTTGCCTACATTCAGTTACTTTTTTTTTAGTACTACTGACTCTGTTACAATGCAGTATCTGTTCAGTAACTTAACTGAAGCAGAATCATGTTATGGTTGCAGGATACATTGGCATGGCTCTATCGTACGCTCTCTCGTTGAACGTAAGCCTGGTTTATGCAGTCCAGAATCAGTGCATGCTAGAGAATTCAATTGTATCAGTGGAAAGGCTAGAACAGTACATGAATATTCCCAGTGAGGCCCCAGAAATAATAGAAGGCAATCGACCTGCACCCGAATGGCCTTCCATTGGTAAAGTGGAGATTCATGATCTCAAGGTTAGTCATTAGTATCCACAAAACTATAATATGCTGTTTTTGCTCTTGATCGGATCAAAAAAAACAAAAAAAAAAGATATGATTTCAGGTGAGATATCGAGACAATTCGCCTCTGGTTCTCCAAGGCATTAGCTGCACATTTGAAGGAGGCTACAAAGTTGGCATTGTAGGCAGGACAGGAAGTGGGAAAACAACTCTCATCAGTGCCCTCTTTCGCCTCGTGGAGCCTACCGAGGGCAAGATCATCATAGACGGTCTAAACATCTCTGCACTCGGGATCCATGACCTCCGCTCATCCCTGGCAATCATCCCACAAGACCCAACGCTCTTCACCGGGACAATCAGACACAACCTAGACCCCTTGTCAGACCACACTGATGACCAAATTTGGGAGGTTCTTGGAAAATGTCACCTCAGAGATGCAGTTCAACAGAAGGATGCTGGACTCGACTCTCCAGGTAAGACTAAGGTTCATACACAAACTCTTTAAAACCAAGAATCTCAGCATCCTCAGACTTAGGAAATAGGAATATAATGAATCAAACAGTGCTACAAGATGGATCAAACTGGAGCATGGGACAACGGCAGCTATTCTGCCTAGGACGGGCGCTGCTAAAACGAAGGAAGATCCTAGTCCTAGATGAAGCTACTGCATCAATAGACAACACAACTGATTCGATAATCCAGAAAACGATAAGGACAGAGTTTGCAGATTGCACTGTGATCACAGTAGCTCATAGAATACCTACTGTCATGGACTGCACAATGGTTCTTGCTATAAGTGATGGTAAATAATAAGCTATAAGACCTGACATTATTTCTTTTGTTAACATTTGTTTTTTGTCCCCACAAAACATTATTAAGGTTTCTGTGACATTTTCAGGGAAGCTGGTGGAGTATGACAGACCAATGAAGCTTATAAATGAAGAAGGGTCATTGTTTGGGCAGCTTGTTAAGGAGTACTGGTCTCGTTCTGGAAACATGTAGGCCAAAACAGCAAAAATTAGAAATGCAGTACAAACAACAAATGGTGTGCCTAAATATTTGAGTTTTGATTTTGAAAGGGTATTCAATATACAATATTATTCTTTGGTTATAATAGAATCTTGTATGGGTTTTTGACATTCAACAATAATGTGGTTCACCAAAACCACATTTTCAAACAAATAATATCCTCCTTTTTGCTATAAAAGAAAAGGATCTTTTTTAGTAAATAGAAATGGTAAAAATGATACATCTTATAGCCGAGGCGCCCCTAGTTCGAGGCGATTTCAGCACTAGGCGGCTTTTAGTTCACTGGCCAACTAGTCGGGCGACTAGGCGTCGAGTTGAGAACCTAACTCCGCCTAGTTGGGTCTAAGTTCGCTTAGTTGGCGCCCAACTCCGCCGAGTGATATTTTTTGTCTGCTCGATTGCTGTTCTTCTATATTCCTCCAGCCATGTATTAAACTAACCATCTAACATATATAGTTGATTAGTTTGTGGGATTATAATAATCTAACAACTCACAGTCCTGAGTGGGAAAAGTGAAGACCGATATACTCGAATTACTCGACTGCCTAGGAGGCGCTCTGGGCGCCCGACTAGCGCCTAGCGCCTTCTGCAACATTGTAGTGATATCTTTAAATATATTTTTACAGGGAAGTATGCAGGAATGGAAATGAAGTACAGGTTGTAGTTGCATTGAAAGCTAGAGTATCTGATCTAATGAATACTTGAATTATCGATGACTGGTGCAGGATGAGTTCTTGTGACCATAGCTCGAGGCATTTTAGTGCTGTTATAGATCCAAATGCTCTCCATCAACTCACCCTCCTCTGCTTCTTTCTCCATTTCACAATTCTTCTTCGCCTTAACAATCCCATGCAAGAATTTCCCAGCCAGCCCTGCAGCACCCAGCCCAACAACTCCAACACCAAATCCAATCACCCAAAACCCCCACCTACCCTCCACCTTCCTCTTCTTAATCACACAAAAATAATGGCGGCCTTGCAGGTTTCTCGTATAGCACACATTAGGAACCCCCAAACCACTCAGAAACACCACTTTCCCTTTACCATCAAACGTTGCACATATTTTTGTGTTTCCCCGCATCGTCCCAGTTGACACGTTCTTGAACTCAATGGATATAGGCTGTCCCGCTGTGATGTTAAGGTCGAGGCGTGTGAGGTTTTTAAGGTTCAGATGTTTGGACGAGGAATCGTATATCATGAAACCTACGACAGATGTGAGCAGGGAGTACCCTGATGGCACTGACAGATTGAAATACTCAGACGACCAGTTCCCAAGATCGTGGCAAACTATGGCCACCCTTTTAACATACGGCACTGGGAGAGTCTTTGGCGGGATATGAAAGTTGCTGAAATTTGCGCCTTTTCGCCAGAGCGTCTTGCTTCGAAGCCGCACGACTGAGAGCTTCATCCCTGCAAGGCTGGCCGGGAGGGTGGCGTTGTAGAGCGCCCCCGTGCGCGGGCGCCGCTGGTTGACCAGCGCATTGAGGGCGTAGGAGTGAATCAGAAGGTCCAAAGAATCGATGGGGTTGGCAAAGGAAGAGAAATATTGCAGAGAGAGAAAGAGGGAGGTGATGAGACACCAGACTGCAGCATTGGATCCCATTGCAGCAACTGCAAGCTCTTTGAATTGGCTTTCACTGAACTCAAGAATGGTCAAGCTAGTTTTCTACTGCCACTTTTGCTTTTAAACGGCAAGCTAATAAGATTCCAGTTTGGGAGCATTGAGAAGTGGGAAAGGGCGTGGATAAAGCAAAATGGCGGGGGAGGTTGTAAGGCTTTTATGGTGGTTTTTGCAGATTTAATTTGCAGAGTAGAAGAAGTGTAGTGAGGTGTGCTATTTCTTTGGGAGTTGAAAGCTGGTTTTCTCATACAAAGTCGTGCTTTTGTGTTGCTGTTGGCCCTATACTCCCTTTAGCTTCACCTAATTTTATATTAAAGGGGAATAAGGTTTGACCCCCCGAACGTAATCTGAAAATGTAATTATGTCACTGAACGAAAAAAGTGTAATTAGATTGTTGAATATTTTAAAAATGTGCAATTAGGTTACTAAACACTCAAAATGTATGCAATTTCACTAGATAACAAGTTACCATCAATTTTAGTAGGTTACCTGCTTATGTAACAGCTGACTTGGCATTTTTAATAATTTTTAATAAATTTTAATAATAAATTTAAAAAATAATTGAAAAAATTAAATAAAAAATAAAATAAAACTGACGGGATGGCCGGCAGCCACATTTTTTTTTTAATTATTAAAAATTATTTTAAAAAATGCCAACTCAGCTGTCACGTACGCAGGTAATTAACCTGCTAAAATTGATGGTAACCTACTATTAAGTGAAATTGCATACATTTGGGGTGTTCAGTGACCTAATTACACCTTTTTTTTTCGTTCAGTAGCCTAATTGTATTTTCAGATTACGTTCAGTGATCAATTTAAACCTTATTCCTATTAAAGGCAACAACTATTGTATACTCATCCTCTTTTATTTTTATTTTTTTATAAAGAGAATCCGTAGTTACCCAGAAAACAAACTGGTAACTTTATTAGTTACTATAAGTACTGTGTCCAAAACTTTGATGAAATTGTCTCCATATTCATTTTTTTCTCATCTACACAATCGTCACCACACAATAATAACAATGCATGTCATCAAATGTTTATGGGAATAAGGTTCAAATTGGCCACTGAACGTAACCTGAAAATGCAATTAGGCCACTGAACGAAAAAAAAGTGCAATTAGGCCACTGAACACTCCAAAAATGTGCAATTTCACCTGATAGCAGGTTACCCTCAATTTTAACAGGTTATCTGCTTACGTGGCAGCTGAGTTGGCATTTTTAATAAATTTTAAATCATTTTTAATAAATTTTAATAATAAATTTTTATTTAAAAAATTTTTTAAAAAATAAAAACGACTTTATTTTATTTTTTATTTAATTTTTTTCAATTTTTTATAAAATTTATTATTAAAATTAATTATTAAAAATTATTTAAAAATTATTAAAAATGCCAACTCAGCTGCCACGTAAGCAGGTAACCTGCTAAAATTGATGGTAACCTGCTATCCGGTGAAATTGCATACGTTTGGAGAGTTCAGTGGCCTAATTGCACGTTTTTGGAGTGTTCAGTGGCCTAATTGCACTTTCTGTTCGTTCAGTGGCCTAATTGCATTTTCAGGTTACGTTCAGTGGCCAATTTGAACCTTATTCATGGGCATCATCACAATGTTTTGATTCCACCATACATGTTAAACCTTAATTGCAATCACAAAATCTTAGAGCATCCACACTAGTGGATAATATGGGGTTAATGTAAGAAGAAATAACTTGGGTAGGATTATTTATAGATGTGATGTGTGATTAATTATAGAATTATTTCTCCTACAACTGCTACGAGAAGAGAAATATCAGAAAAGATAGGTTGTTGTGCGCGTTTGGCGCACAGCAGCCGCCCACACGGGCGCACCTGACCATGTTTTTTTTTTCTTTTAAATAAAAAAATGAGTTTTTTTTTCTCCACTTTCACATTCTTTTTCCTAATCATTCTTACATAATCCCCCAATTCTTTCCAACCATTGTGGATGCTCTTAGTTTCAATTTCTTAATTTTTTGGGAACCCACTCACACATATAAAGTTCCCTTTGAAAAATAAGGAATAAATTTTATTCTTCTATTGCAAAACGAGATAAATGATATTTATGCTTATATAAATAAAAAGTTGTGACATTTTCTTTTAAAAATATATATAAATCTTTCATTGCATATATCATATGAAAGAAAATCAGTATAGCTAGTCCTTTTGAAAAATCCGCAAGAGTTTAAATAAAACCTCCTCTCTTAATTTGTTATGTATTATTTCATATTAAAGTAAGTTAATTCTAGTATTGAATATTATTATTAGGGTTATTAAATGAAACAACGAATAATATAATGGAAATGTATGAATAGTATGAGAATTGAGAGACAGAGATAATGATTGATTTAGGTTAGTATGATGATAGTGGAGGTGAAGCTATTATGTAATCTGTCGGTTGATGAAGAGGAGACTATCATCAATTCCTTGGACTGCGGGGAGATCGAATTAAAGCATGCTTTGCAGGCTTTGGTTTAATAGTCAAATCTTGAATGAAGAAAAAAAACAAAACAAAAAAAGGTGACAATAATGCATGATTCTCCATCATAACAGTCAACCCCCATACACTCAAATGTTTAATTTGCTAAGTACATATACCCATTTTGGTAGTATCCGAGAGAAGACACTAATCTTCGAACTTCGACAATGACAGTATGAAAATTATGTTTAAAGTGGACAGATTCTTTATGCACACTGATATTGATCCTGTCTGGTGAGCCATTGAGTCATCACGATTATACCCTCTCAAATACTCTATCAGGTCAAAATGTGGGGGTTCTTGGGATTGGAGATTCAACCGTTCGAAAGAATGATAGAATTGAGTTCTAGTATTAATTGATTATTTGTTTCAACAACTACTCATTTCTTTCTTTTTTTCTTTTTTAATCCTTTTTGACCGATTAATATAGGTCATGTGGTGTGTGAATATACTTTCAAGAGTGTGAGTAGTATCTTGACTAGTTGGCAATGCACATTAATTTTATAGTGGAAGATGATATAGCACTTATGACAGGACATTCATATATGGTCATTCTAACTACACTAATGACTATTCACGGTGGATAATGGAGAGCTATGAATTCTCATATAGTAGAATAAAAGTGAAACTCTATATGTAAAATGTGTATTTAATTGTGAGATAATGCTCCGACATATTTACTTTAATTATAACAATGACTTTTTAATGGCTAATTTGGTTAGGGTTAATTATGTGAGCCAAATCTCTATCTGTATTCTGATTAAGTTAAATATTATCTCATCATTTTTTTGATAAATTTTATAACAATAAATATTTTATTTAGAATTATAAGTTTAGACCATTAAATCAACCGATACTTGTACATAACCAATCAAAATGAATGTGTTTTACTTCTTCTAAGCCAATTCTCATGCGCCAAAAGTTTTAGTGGATTGAATAATTGGTTTTGGTGCATTAATTATTATGAGGCCAATTAATATTAGCATAGATTTAGGGTTGAATTGGCAAATCTCAGTATGATTAACACTATCCGTCCTTTATTCTCTGGGGCCTATTCCTACAAATTCAGTGTCAAACACTCATTTCATCTTTCTTTGATGGTTAATTAACCAAACATCACATCTAAGCAACCAATTAAAGAGAACAATCTTTTTTGACTTTGGGAAAAGTCAAACCACCCTGCCTCATATTTGTATAGGCTTTCAATCCTTGCCTATATAGGCAAAACCACAAAGGGATAAAGCCAATTTATTTTGAAATGAAAATAATAAATAAAAAATAAAGAACATTATAGTTATCTACGATGTTAAATAGTAAAACAAATGACTACTATGAATAAAAATAAAATAAAAATTTTATTTTTATAATTACAAGAATCTCTCAACACTTCTTTATTAGTTGATATTCTTGCTATTTTTCATTATAATGCTTTCTAAGCTAAGATATATATATATTTTTTTGAATGCTACTGGCTCTATTACATTGTAGTATATGTTCATATACTTTCTAAGATATATAATAAAAGTGTAGTGATGTTAGCCAATTTTGACTTATTTGACCACTTATTAGGTGTTTGATTTGGTTAAACAATCAATATGCATGTGTGTTTGATTAATTAGCTTTTTGTAACAATTTATTGCTCTAATTAAAAAGCTGCTCAAAGTGTCATATTGTATGTAATCAACTAACATCTAATTTACCAAACACTTTTTTACAATTAGCTAATGCTATCAATTAGTCAAACTCTCTAACCCAATCAGCTAACAACCATTTACCAAACATCTCCCTTAGCATTTATTGTCATCCGATCCAATCTATACACATATTAATCCTCAAATAGAAGAATCCCATAAAAGAGGGAGATCATATAGCTATCAACTAGTCAAACTCTCTAACCCAATCAGCTAACAACCATTTACCAAACATCCCCTTAGCCTTTATTGTCATCCGATCCAATCTATGCACATATTAATCCTCAAATAGAAAAGAGGGAGATCATACACGTCCTTTAAGCTCATACCGTACTCAGAAATACTGACCAGATTAATTTTTTATATGAGAGAGGGTTCAAACTGCCGACCTCTCTTAAGAGATAAGAGTGCACAACCATTCACGCCAACCAAGCTAGTTATCTATACACCTATTAATCTAGCAATACACTCACTCCAAGTGACAATTCCAAGTTTCTAGCCAACAAATACCCACAACCATAAGTATTGCCAAGATATTGTCTGCATGAACACCTCAACTGTTTGTAAAGGTGAAACAAAAGACTAAGGATCAAGTCTCACTAGTGGCAGCACAAACTGTCAGGTCGGGTAATCATGCTGCAAATACACTTTGTATTTTGTATTTTCCTTAAACATACCACTGCATCACATAAGATTCCTTGAGATATATAATACTGTGACATTCCACTCTACCATACAGGAAACAGGATCCGTTTTCTTCAAATCAAAACACACTCATGGGAGAAGCACGTGACTTGCTTTGTCTTTTTGTATTTACAAGGCAAAACCTTAACCTTTGGAAATTCATGAAGATAAGGAGCTATCACCTTAAACTACCCAAACTCCATTCACCACACAACACAACACAAAACAGATTCTTTAAAAGGATGGGGAGTATGAATATGGAAGGAAACAATCTAGAGATATTTGAAGTTGGCCCTTGTGAAAACAGCTACCAGCTTGGGTTCTTGATTGGTCAGAGGTTCTCCAAACTCATAACAAGCAGGTTGGCCACTGACCTCATTCTTCAAAACCAACTCCTCCCCTTTGCTCACTCCCCGCTTTCGACCCCTCTCATCCATTCCTTGACTGAAACCAACCGCAAGGCGTTCCCCGCCTATTGGGATGAGCTCCGGGGAACTTCTGATGGGAGCGGCGTGCCTTTTCTTCAAGTAAACCTCCATTCTGCTGATATATATATAGGCAAATGTTTCAGTGAGACAACATCTTCCCGTGAGACTGTGAGACACAACATGAATGCAAACAATCTACTACAGGAATCACACACTAGGTTGTGTGCACTCATGTTGGGCAAATTGCACACACTCTAGTCTGTGTGCATCCTTGTAGTAGACTTTATGCATTCATGTTGTGTCTTACAGTCTCTTGTCTCATTATATATATATATATGTGTGTGTGGGTGTGTGTGGGTGTGTGTGTGTGTGTGTCAGGATACATGTCACATAACTAATGCAATTCTTCGACTTTCAAGATTTTACTACTCAACTTCAGAAAAGAGATACTTCCATTTATTCGGAACGAGGAAACACAGCCAGAGGATTATAATAATATTAATAATGATGATTGTTCGGACATTCTTGTTGTGAATGACTCCATGGCCATTGCAGCTCACAACGAGGATGCAAATGTTGCACTCGTTGGTCACACGTATGTTTAGAATTAGAGCAATAATTTTATACGACTATGATTGTTCAGAGAAAAGGGAGACCGATTGAGTTTATTGCTGCAGATATTTGATAAAGGCAACGTTATTTGATGGAACAACATTCACTGCATACACCTATGCAGGAGAGCTGCCAAGCTGTGCTTTTGGGTTCAATAACCATGGAGTGGTAAGTAAAAAACTGAGCAATATTTGCATAGTCAAGCGGAGAAGGTAAAAAACATGAGATTGTTATGTATCAGGCATTTACCCTGAATTCGGTGCCCCCAACCGAGGAGGAGATTGTGGCTGGTGGCATCGGAAGGAACTTCATCTCCCGAGACTTGCTTGGATCGAAAAGCATTGATGATGCCCTGACTGTAAGTTGATCCTTTTTTGCACTCTCTAAGACTGCCTTAATCAAGAAAACAAACCGGGGAATCGGGGATTGATAGATACTATGGCTTTTGTGCTCTTCAGAGGATTTCCTCATTAGAAGCATCTGTCGGGCACAGCTATAACTTGATAGATACAAGGACTAGGAAGATTCTGAATGTCGAGACAGCATCGAGGTACAGAGTATCGGTTCTTGAGGTCGGAGAAACGCCATTCTTTCACGCCAATATGTACCTTCATCTTCATGTTAACCAGGCAAGTAACCTTTTCGACCTGGATCAGAAAAAGAAAAAATACGGAGTAATAATAAAATCAAGCAGAGTTAAAAACGTAATAATTGTCACTGAAGCCCATAACTTGTCGACGTTTTGGCTTATTGAAGGCACATGACAAGAACTCACTAAGCAGGCAGAAAAGAGCAGCTTCATTGCCAAAAGGATCAAAAAGCGATTATCTAGAACTCCTGGGAGACATGCATGATAAAAAGTACCCAATTTACATGACAGGTATGCCAAGGAATTATGAGAACTATACCCTCATGATAGCATCACCGTATTAATGATACCTCTTCTGTCGTACTTTCCAGGTCCATTACTTCACACACTTTGCACAGCTGTGATCGACATGGATGAAAGAACCCTGTCAATTATTCAAGGGAACCCAAAGAAGAACGGTCCATCCTATGTCTTTTCAATGTCCTAAGGGCAGCAGCTATAGCTAAGTAAGTGTTGGGTGTTAGTCGGGTAGGCCGAGTTCAGTCCCTGCTCGATTCGAGACGTGACGTTGTGGCTTACCATGGAGGGATGTGGTTAAATGGTTAATGTCCACCTACTTATCACCAATTGATTTTAAGTAGGATATAGCAACCAGATAGCCAAAGAACTCTGTGGTTAAACGTGCTTGACTTACATCAGTCACAGGATGGGTTAAGGAAATTTTATGATATATTGACTGCTGGGTGACCCCCTGGGAAGTAAGCAAAGTATGTGAGGTTAATATTGTGAATGTGAAATGCTTAAGGAAATTTTATGATATATTTCATATGTGAACGGCGAACCTAACTCTCCATGTCAGCACACGATTTACATATTTAACTTAAGAATAACATGCTGAATTGCAGAGAGTACCTTATCTAATATCTACAAAACATTCAACTCAAAGACGAAATTTTTGAACCTTTTAGACGGGAACGTGATTGTTGACCATGTTGCTTCGAATCCATTAGCTTTGCCTTCAAAGTATGCTCTTTCGAATCTGGAGGCAATTTTGAAGAGGATTCGAATTCATTATCACTTGATGGGAGTTTCTCTGTCCATTGCCGTACTGGACTAGCACGACCCCTCCAGTTGGAATTACCAAGCGAAGCTACACCATACTCGTTTTCAGGAGGCATTATTCCACATTCTGACAAGAAATAGTGGCTTCGTATTAAGTCATCGATACTATAGTTTGAGTTTAGTCCGGGAGTTGCACGGGGTTTACTCTTTTTCTCAGAACTACCTTCTTCTGTTATCTTGCATCTATCGGATTTCTTTGAACCGCTTATTTCAGCTAAACTCTCTCGAATTGTTTTCCCCCGTTCCAAATCTTCAACATGGTTCCCGCCTTTACTTACTATCGTCGCTTGTGCCATCTTTTCTTGAAACTTCACCTGCATATTGGATGGACTGCGACCCTTGGCCCTTTCATGAGATCCGAGTTTTTGCATTGTATAGTCTGCCTTCACAATCTCTTCATTTTCCGGGGATTTTAAGTCAACAGCACTTGCTTTGCGTAACTCGAAACAATGTGAATCGCTACCTACAGAAATATCTTCATCGCCCTCGTCTTGAGGAGCACTAACAGCAACGTTCAGAGGGATGGATTCTAGAGAACTTCTACGGTAGGTGGGGAAGTGGGGATTGTTCTTGATTCCATCCCTTTTAATTCGAAGAAATTCGTCTATTTCAGAGCTTAGCTTTTCCACTGTGGGATTTTCTTCTTCTCCTCCACCGTGCTGTGGTTGTAGTTTCATCTGCATCCTTTCATCGAGCCATGATTCCGATATATGAAGAATCAGCCTATCATCATAAGTCCTTCCCGTCCATTCCTTGTCAGATTTCTGTCTCAGAGAATGCAATTCTTGTTCATAGTCGCTAATCCCCCACGCAAACTCATCACAAAGCTCTTCCAGAAGTTTACGAGATTTCCTCTCGCTTTCCACCTCTTTCACAGCATTAGCAAAAGACGTCTTGACTTCCAAAAGCTCACGAGCTAACTTGCGATGCAAGCTCTCCGAGCGTTTCCTTAGCTTCCTCTCGTCATCCAGCTCGTCCCTAACAGACTGCACAGCAGCGTTTATTCGGTCTTGCTCCTTGCTTTTCCTAACCAGTTTGTCTTCACTAATCTGCTTCATTAACTCATCCACTCCCCGTCGATCAGCCTGCTGCTCTTGCAACAACTCTTTGATACGCATATGAGCATGGTCGAGCTCTTTCTTTAGTTTCCTCACGAGTGTCATGTTGGATACGTGTTGCTCTTCCAGGCTCCAGATTCGGTTCAACACCTTAAGCAGCTCTGTTGATGTTCTGAGGCTATAACCACCCTCCCCAATTCTCCCCTTGAAATCTGTAGAACTCGAAGGAGTAATTGCGGGGTTGTAAGGGGCTACCTGCAGCATATAGAAGCGTGTAAAGCTCTACTCAGTTCAACACTACCGTTATCTCGTTCGTTACATTCAGCTCCACTTTGGGCAATGGTCTCGTTATGGTTTAATTGGTATGTAAACTATACAAAATATATAATTACGTTTCCATATTTAAAGAAATCATCCAGACTAGATAAATCTGGGCATACAACAGCTCAATGAAGTAATACGAGAAGTTAAATCAATTGAAGCATGTGCTCCATCTCAACTAAAAGCTTTGCACATTAATGGCTGTATGCTCAATACGCCCCCTCACGTGTGCGGTGGGTTCCAAGCATCTGCTCCATCTCAACTAAAAGCCTAAGCTGACAGTTGGATTGCACATTAATGGCTCAATAAAATCAAGCAGTCAATCCCGGAAAATTGAAATATAAATTTATACCTCCATCGAGCTGTTGAAACTTGCAGGAGATACGGGTTGTATAGCATGGTTACTCCTTTCAACGGGCCGGTGATGCTGCATTAGTGACGCAGCAAGATGCCTCCTCAAACTGCCCACACTTTCTGGCTGCCATTAGTTATTAGCAAATTATCAGAAACCTTGCTGGTTTACACAGTTTGCAAATCGCGGGAAATATATAGATATCCTCAAATCATCGAATAAGGATATCAATCATATTAGGTAGATTATCAACCATGAACAGAGGCAAACATTAAAATGTATGTAATCCATAAACATCAAACAACTTGTTGAGAACCCCCTCAGGTTCATAAAAAAATGAAGCTACAACATTATGGACACCTGGAAACCTAGAATCATTAGATAACATTCATAACTATTCTGAAATTATGCTAAACATTCAGACAACCCAAGGGACAAGTAGAATGGGCATGTATAGCATTATTTCACATGTATAATTGAGGTCCAAATAGTGATATATGATCAACAAAAGAACAAAAAAAACAGATGGGGACAGCAAAAATAAATAAGTCCAAAAACAGAAGCAGAAAATCAAACCATAAACAATTTTCACCACCAATAATGAAGCAAATTGAGTAAACAAACACCATAAATGGAGAAAAAGAAGGGTGATAATAGAAATTTAGAACCATAAGCACAATAAAGAGCATAAAGATTCAAACTTTACCAGTTCAGGCAAAATTGGAGAAGGATCAGGGGGATCAAGCTGTGTGTTCTCCTCATGGCGGTGGCGGTGGGGGCGGCGAAGCCTTGCAAGGGGGGGAACACCCACACCCTGTTGCATTTTAGAAAGAGGCAGCTTATAGTGATGGAGCTCCCAAAGGGTGGCAGCAAGTTTTCTTGAAGATACAAAAGGGGCTCCAGTAATATGAGGTTCTTGATCTTGTTGATGGTGGTGTTGAAGGTGGTAGAGCCTCCAAAAGGGTATGACTGGAGTGGAGTGACCCCCTCTTTTCCCAACTTTCTTCAACTTTTCCCCCAAATTTTCTTGCTTTTCTGCTGGCCCTTCCCCACACTGCTCTCCCCTTTTCTGAGCTTTCACCCTTTTCCTCATCATCATCCTCTGCCTAGATTACAAAATTGTTTTTTTTTTTTTCTTCTTCTTCTTCTCTCTCCACATCACCAACAACCCCCATCCCATCTCATCATTTGAGGCTAACTTGCAGTACTGATAGCGGACCGTATTGCATCTTTTCCGTGATTCGCGAAATTCATGGCACAGAATAAAACAGGAAAAGATTAATACGGAAGTAGTAGGAGTATATAATAAAGAGTATTTATTCAAGAAAATGATTCTCCTTTCGAGGGCCTGGCATAGAAAGAAACTAGAAAGTCCATATTCCATTTCAGAGGTCACAGGTGGGGGTCTAATTTTGAGTAAGCAGTACATGGGCCCTTTGGACAGGCGTAGACGCCATAGTTTACTTTGCCAGTTCTCTCTCATCCCTGTAGATTTTCAAAATTTATCCACCCACATTGCTCACCGTGCATTAATCATCATATCCTTCAACATTTGTGCATCCACGATGACTCAATGGTTCAGCAAACAGAGCTAAATGTTGGTACGCACAAAAAATCTGTCCACTTTGAATATAATTTTCACACTGTCGTCGAAATTCGAACTTTGATCTCTTCTTCTAAATACTTTCCATTAAAGCATTTAGCTAAGCCCGTGCGAGTTATTCTTTTTTTTTTTAGAAACATAAGAGAATGTTATTCTAAGAATTGCATTTCTATGGTTTTCAAAAAAAAATGCATTTCAATCTTATGATTCACGAAATAATTCAAGAAATAAATTTGTAGACACTTAAATTTTGATAAATATTGATTATTTATCAATATTTATATATTTGAATATATTTGAAATATTTTGGATAATATTGATATTATCTAATTTGTTAATTAGATAATATCAAAAGAGTTTGAGCTTATCAAAACTCTCTATCCTACAGCTATAAATAGGGCATTTTATTTCTATGTAATCACACAAATCCTAGGAAGAATCATGTAAACATCTAGAAATATATATATTATTTAGAGATCACAATGAAAATGTGATCCTGAAAGTAAAAGCCCCTCCTCCTCTATATGTTGATGCATGTTGATCCAAACTTTTATTGAAGATCAAGCCATTTGAACCCGGAGGCCCTTCAAGAAGAACAAGCTATATATACAAGCCCTTCTTTGAAGATCAAGCCACTTGAAACCCGGAGGCCCTTCAATGGTGGAGTGTTCAAGGCATCCAATTGAAGAATCAGAGGACATCCCAGAGACTTGTACTCACACCTCATTGATACTTAATATGTAACCGGAACTTTGAATTACTAAATATATATTCAATTTTCTTTGTTTACAAATTGGCACGCCCGGTGGGACAGCTCTGCCTCTCATCTCTTCATAGGCACTTTCAACCGGTATGGGGGCAAACCCCATATGAAATTTGAAATGGAGGAGGCTAAATGATACTCCTTGGCACGAGTTAAAACGGCCTTATATCTTTCAAGGCTCCTTGGCACGAGTTGAAACGACCTTATATCTTTAAGTTGTAGTGTCGAGACTTTCTTGCACTACATACTTTCAAGTTTTATATGCTCTCAAGTGGTGTACAAGCAAGTCTCGAGGGGGCATTTGTAGACACTTAAATTTTGATAAATATTGATTATTTATCAATATTAGTATATTTGAATATATTTGAAATATTTTGGATAATATTGATATTATCTAATTTGTTAATTAGATAATATCAAAAGAGTTTGAGCTTATCAAAACTCTCTATCCTACAACTATAAATAGTGCATTTCATTTCTATGTAATGACACACATCCTAGGAAAAGTGATGTAAACATCTAGAAAAATATTATTCAGGATCACAATAAAAATGTGATACTGAAAGTAGAAGTCTCTCCTCCATAATGATCATGCCTATG